TCTTGGCTGAATGGTTCCCGCGAAGTTCGCGGGTTCGAATCCTTTTCAGATGCGTGCTGTTGATGAGTCCAGACAAGGACAAAACAGCTTTACGGTGCTTCTGGACCCTTCAGTATAGGTTGAATTTGTTTGCAGGTCGAAAGCTATGTTAAAAATTCAGAATGACCTCATCATCTACTTTCGATGTCGAGAGGAGCACGTTGAGTAGTGTTGAGTCCGGTTAGGTTCACAATCACCGATGGCAACACCCGCAATTGCGCCATGTTGCTTCATTCGTGCTGCACCCTATCTGCAAACTGTGTTGGAAAGAGTTCATCCGGACATGGTTCTTTGTTTCCTTGTTGAGATTCCAAGAATTCGGATGTGGTTGGTGGAGTTAGATTGACGGTCATCTTTGCACATGTTGGTTGTTCGGGATGGGACTGAGGCTAGCTCAATTATCAGTCGGGCTAAGCAGCCCAAAACGTTCAGCTGTAGCACCCTTTCGGGGCCTAGTTGCCATGCCTCACGAAGGAGGCACGAGGGCTGGGACACTGCCAGGTTGCCCAAGCCTAAACCGGGGAATTCGAGAGGCAGAGGTCGGGTTCGAAACCACGGATCTTCCGGTCAGCAAATTCGCGCTCTAACCATTTGAGCCATCTCGCCCCCAGCTTTTCAAGACGTCGGTCACAAAGACCTTGTTGTGATCATGACAGTTTGTGCGCCTCCATACCCCATCGAGCTATAATTGGAAATGCCCGTCTGTCGTACCACGTTGGTCAGAGTATACAGGTCCGATCGATAGATCAGATTAGAGATCAGGATACGTGTAGTGATGGTGTGTCATTAAATGTTGGATCATGGTAAAAGAGAACGTGTTCAGCCGCCTCCTGAAGCAAGATTCATTTTCGAAATACACTCATTTGCAAATTATTTGGTTTTGCGAGAGACTCACCTGGAACCCAGCTGAATCTCTCGGTTTTGATATTCCCAGGCAACTGAATGTGCTGCACCAGGCCGCCTCATGTTTCAGTCGTTACGATATCCGAGAGATTCAGCTGGGTTCCAGGTGAGTCTCTCGAACAACCAAATCAGTTTGCAAATGAATGTATATTCGCTAATTTCATCCAGTTTGGTTTCAAGTAGAACATAAGGTTGACGGAAACTCGGTGATTGCGCCTACCTGATGAGCCCCAAGAGGGGCGAAACCAGTCGTGGGCTGCCGAAGAGTAGTGCATTACAAAGAATCACTCTTATACAACGCATCGATCCATGTCGCACCAATCCGTCGACCGTTTTCCTTCGCTAACCAGCTTTTTAGCCAGCTTTGAAAGATAAGCCAGCAACATTTATCTACCTGTATTACAGATCCAGTTATTTTATTGAACGCACCTCAGGTGAGAATGTCGGTTTGCATTAAGTCTGTGCGCTCATGCACTCCAGTTTTGCCACCTGACCTAAGACAAGGGTCACCAACCCAAACGTTGTTGATGTATACACACAGATAAACCTTCGCGACCGGAGATGCTACGCACGTAAATGGGCCATAAGACCTACCTGACTGAGTGAACAACCGGGTAGCCTGGAAAACGGTCGATGGCTGCTTGGTTTCCAATGACGTTCATCAAACATTACTGCATCTTGTTGTTGGGTCACATACAATTAGGAAAATGATGAATGTCCTGAAGAGGTTTAATGAGACTCCATTTTTCGTTCGAGTTCTCATACAGCCATTTCGGAGCTTTGCACAAATTGCTTACGTAATGCTCATTCTCGCTCGGAGTGACTCAGTGGTTGAAGCGCGAACTTATCGACCGGAAGGTCCTTGGTTCGAATCCGACCTCTGCATCAGGCTCGGCCACCCTGACAATATCTCATCCCCCCGGCACCGAAAGAGTACTACAGCTGAACCATGTTTTTTCGCAAAACTAGCTGAATGATCCAACATACCAACGTAAATCTTTTGGAGAAAAGTAGCAATCAGGAGAATGATTTCCGGAAAGCTTTGCCACCCCCGCATCAGTCAGAATGAGTCACTGATAAGAACACTGTTGCGGGTTAGGTTTACCTCATCGGTAAAACGAAGTAAACTGGAAAAAATTCAGGGTCACTTGTTTCATTTGCATGAAATTCACATGTCTGTCGTTGACAGGAAAGCAGCTCGGACTAAAGAGTACCTAAATTTCACAGGTTTTCGTCCGGTGCAGCACAAATGCTTTTTGGGTCCAGACTTTGTTCCATTGAGCAGGACTAATTTTCATCCCAGACCATTTCCTCGTGTAGGTTGAGTTTTCTATCCTGGGGACCTTCATAGGCAAAAGATTTAACTAGGATTCAGCTGGTTCTTCTGTTAGCACCAGTCTGTATTTGACCCGACCCTTTTCATTGAAACCAGATCCAAACGAGCAATAAATACCAAAGAAGTCAGTTTATTTGGGGGATTTTATACACCGGTGTTCATCCTAGTGGACTTTTTGCATCATTCCTAATGCAGGACAGCTGACCGTTAAGGCACTGTGACTGATCAGCATCAATTTTACCGAACCTCATTACATCTGGCAGTCCAATTGCAGTTTACCAGCAGGCTCGACTCCCATCGACTTTCTACGCAGCTGAATGACCTTCATTTAACGTAGAACGAATCGGCAATCACGCTATCAATCAACAAGCATCCAACTGAGAAAGGCTACAGAGTTGAAACGTGCTCTTCCACCCTGGTTCTATCACAAACCATCCACCCATATAGACGGTTTCTTCAAAGTGAAAGCGTCTGATCCCAATTCCCTTCTAACCGTTGGGTAGCCAGTTCTGTCCCGCTATCGCTGACCAAAGGACGTCATAAGGTCAAATGATGACCCCTCGTGACCCTGACTCACCACCTGATCCCAGGTAATCCGATCAGAACATGTCCAGCACTCGTAACATCTGATATGACACCCTCTTACTATGCGAACATTTATGTGTAGGTTGGATTGGAACTACGTATGTGTATGTCAGGATCTGACGTCGAGACACCGAAAAGAATCGCTTCACTCAACCGAGTGTTCTCAATCCACCTGTGGGTATACTTCGCTCAATAATGGTAAATCGATTCAGGCCTGCATTGAGTGCTCAAAAACTACGTCGCTTTCTTGATTGGTCATGTGGCATCTTGGTCGGTTTTTTTATAAATAATAAATGTGCAAAGAACATAATATACTACTCACAAGTTTGCTGAAAACTCTTCGGAAGACATCAACCTCTTTTGCCGTTCCAAACCGCGCAGTCCTCGGGTTTCCGTCAACTTTACATTGTGACGGTAGACTCGCGTGGAACCCGGCCGGAACATAAGACAGCCGGGTGCAACACATTCAATAGAAGAAGAACGTCATAAACGACCGATTCAGCTAGGTTCCAGATGAGTTTGCAAGTCGAATGTTCACTTCAACTTAAAGTCAGCACTCTCCGTGGTTTCCTTCGAGGGTTTCTGTTCTGCCTGAGCACTTCATGCTCCGTATTCGTACCCTTGCTCTGGCAAACAGCTTTGCCACCCCTTAATCTTCATTAGTGCCAATCCTGGCTGCGATTTTCGTGGCTCAACGCACCGTGGCTGATAGTAGCAAGGCCTGGTGATGAAGGCGTGACTCACTTTTGAAGGGTTTTACGCTCTACTGGCCCACCTTGAGCGGCATCGGTAGTTACTGTTGTCAAGGTAGGTTGGAGGTGTCTTGTACAGTCGCACATTCATCCGTCATCCATTACCGATGTCTCCCCCTTTTTACCATCCGAACACCAAGTCGGATAATTTTGGACTGAGCTGCCTATTTATGCATTGGGATGGTGTCCTCTTAATGTATCCAATCAAAGAGAAGCGCCTTTGTGTCTCGCCCATCTACCCAGTTGAACTGCGGAGAGATTGTTCAGCTGTAACAAACAGTCTTTCGGTGCCTAGCTGCCATGCCACCAGAAGGAAGCAGGAGCGCTGGGATACTGACAGGTTGTCCAAACCTAGACAGGGGAGATCGCGGTCGAACGATGGACCTTCCGGTCAGTAATTTCGCGCTTTATCCACTGAGCCATCCCGCCCCTACGGGGCAGCTATAATAGTACAAATTCGACTGAGCGGGAGACTCATTGCAGTTTCTTCCTAACGCCCCACTTCCCAACTAACCCCCATACCGTGGTGTTTAGTTAGTCCACCAGTATGTTCTCGTACTGGTTCGCTAATTGTGGATAGGTTGGCTGATCATCGCAGCCTCATGTAGCTGTTCTCCAATAGGTTGGTGAGATAAGAAGGTACTGGATATGTTGTGATTTGTACGTGTTTGCGCCGCACCCACTATTAAATCGCACTTTGGAACTTGCTATAATTGATGTGGTTAGTCTGTTTTGGGCGGTCTGCAGAATTCATTGCATGCCGTCACATACTGCCTATTGAGTTGACCAGTTTCGCTTCACTTTTCACAGCACTCTGAAGTGAGCTTTCGAAAACCACAGTCGTCAGTTGTATACTGCAAACGATATTTCCTATGCCGGTCTTTAGATCCCTGTTCCACCCATTATGGCTCGGTAGCTTGAGACCACCCTTTACGGAGACAGTGAGGAATCATTACATGCATTTACATGGTAACCAAGGGACTTTCCACAAGGTCACACTGACGACTTTATGTGGGGGCGAGAAACGTTCGATCCTGATTGGCTAGCCAATCAGCGTTCGCCTTCGTTGGCTTCGTAACCAGCTCGCGACACCTGTCCAATCGATGTGGCGTTCCATTCTTTAGAACCGGTCACTTCCGGAAGATGTTTGAATCATTTCAGTGTTTAATGAAATTTCGCTCGAAATTTCGCTTCCTCAGCTACCACTGATTGCCTTCATTTGGCAGTTTTGAATTTCTAGAATAACGCAAACACGAACGCCACGTTCGGTTCACCAGTTTTTTTCTACTACGTGTTGTTCTCCTTATATCACTGTTGTCTGTCTTTGACATTTGTTTTATATGTAAAACTGCTCTCTATCGTTCTATCCGTCTTCGGGGTTGTAGTGCAATGGTTGCAGTGGCGGAACGCTTCAAAGGCTATCAGTACTATGAATTCTCGGTGCTCAAGGAACTCAGACCAGAAAGTAAAAGGTTGGCTGGTGTGGATGACGGAGATAACGCTGCCGATGACAGTATTCAAAGGTAGGTGCCACCAAAACATCTTTCTCTGCTGTGAGTTTCTGTTTTGTGTTGTTGATGTTGCCCCTACCTACGATGGATTTCAAGGGACCATCCTTGTTGAGACTGACGTTCGAAGGCTGATTGCATCTTTTCCGAGGCTTATGAAGGCTCGAAGCTGTTCCGATTGTCGAATCTCGTTCGCTGCGCTATCAACTGCCTTGCTTTTGTTTGGAACTCAGTTTACTTGTCATATATGTTAAAGCCCCGGCGATCTGCGTTTTTTATCGGTGTATTTCCTGGATCATAGTTACTACTCACGATTGGATTGTTAAAATAGAATACCCCTGTACTTGTCAACGGAACCAGGTGATATCAGGTGCGTTGAACCGATCGATCGCTACTCCAGGCTCAGCCAGTATCCGAACGCCAGAACCGATAGGTGATAGTTGAACTGAGTTTGAGGTCGTTGCAATAGACACCTTTGTATGAGATACCAGATTAGTACAATTTACAAAGCCGCATGCAAATGACTGTACTTTGAACACACGGTTATACACTTGCTGACAGTTTTTTATGGCGCTGGCTTGGTCAGCCAGTCTGTTATGGTTTTTTTTTAAGGAATGCAAGGCTGCTTTCGGAATTCAGATGGGCATCATGCGCGTCTTTTCGTTCAATGACGTACGCCTGTTCTGGCCCTCGCTGCATCTGAGTTCTCATAGTCTCTAGTACAGATCCCTAGTGGTTTACTGATTTCCGGGTCGATTGAGTACGTCTATCCAGCACGATCAATTATAAGGTGCGAACTACAGACTAGAAGGTACGTGGTTCGAACCCGACCCGGGCCACTCGATCGCTCCTGTCTACGCTGCCTGGCCGTATGTCACCGAAAGGGTATTTTACGGCTGATGGACGGAGATATTCAATTCGGATGCGGATGAACGAATCTTTTCAGAACTTCCTTCGTAGTCTGGTATCTAGACCATTGTGTGAAAGGTTTGATTGGCTGGCGTTCGCCCTGCTTCATTCTGGTGATTGTCTTCTTCAGCAAATGAGATGGAACACTCATTTCCCTTTGGTATTGATACGATATTACTGACATCCGTACGTCTAAAATCCTTATCATCATCATAATCATTGTCAGCTGTAAGAACCGCGTAATCGTCGTCAAGTGGTTGTAGCTGACGCAGTTTCGTTCACCGATGATTTGGGGGGGAGGTAGCTGCGCATTGCAAGCGGGAGCTGGTAAATTGGTGCATAAATCCAGCGTTGTCGGTGGGCTGTCAAGTGCGGGGTTGGAAAAGGAGCTATGCATTGAAGGCAATAGCTTGGATGGACGAGCGCCATTGAGGGTGCGTCTAAAATCCTTAACAGAATGAAGTTTTGTGTACTCAACTAGATGAGACGAGGAAAGGTAAACGCATCGCTTCCAATCAACAGATATCTGAAAATGTATCTCGACAGCCGTTACTTTGCAGTCACTACTAATCGCCGCAAATTGGAGCAGTAAAATTCCGATCCTAGCTAGTTCTAAAGTTAACCTAATCTGATGCTTTTATCGTCTGACCTTCACCGCTACCCTTTTCTTCTTCTTCTTCGTGCTTTATTTGCCTCGTCAGTTCTGATGAGCGGATATCTGATCATAGCAGTGGGAGCGGAGTTGGATATCCGCACACACCACCCGGTCTAATGGGTGATCACCACAGCGGCGGCTATAGATCGTTGACCACAAACGACCTGTTGGACTCGTCCCCACCACCACGTGATGGTGTCGGCCCGCAGTCCCGGTAATCTCCCCGATGCACCCAGCTGACACTAATCCGTGACTGTGTCTGTTTAAAAATTCCTGGTGTTGCTCTCCTGTTTGCGGTGGTGACGGTGCACTCCCTCCACTCTCACGCTCGGTTGTAATTGTAACTCGTGCCTATCCGTATTCTGGGGAGAGTTGTGCATACGACCTTCAACACCATATCTGCCTGATGCATGTGCTGCTTCATGCTGGTTTAAATTAATATTTTATATAGTCTGTGTTCATCCGTTTTTGTTTTTGTGAGACCGTTTGCTACTCCTACACTTATCATCTGCACTAACCTCCCCGTCGCCACCACCCGGTCTAATGGGTGATCACCACAGCGGCGGCTATAGATCGTTGACCACAAACGACCTGTTGGACTCGTCCCCACCACCACGTGATGGTGTCGGCCCGCAGTCCCGGTAATCTCCCCGATGCACCCAGCTGACACTAATCCGTGACTGTGTCTGTTTAAAAATTCCTGGTGTTGCTCTCCTGTTTGCGGTGGTGACGGTGCACTCCCTCCACTCTCACGCTCGGTTGTAATTGTAACTCGTGCCTATCCGTATTCTGGGGAGAGTTGTGCATACGACCTTCAACACCATATCTGCCTGATGCATGTGCTGCTTCATGCTGGTTTAAATTAATATTTTATATAGTCTGTGTTCATCCGTTTTTGTTTTTGTGAGACCGTTTGCTACTCCTACACTTATCATCTGCACTAACCGCATATCCCCGTCGCCACTCATGGAATGAGCAGTTCGTATCAGCCTGTTATTTTTGTCCCAGTTCTAGGAACCAGGACATGCAGAAGGAGGGACCGACAGAAGAGGAGTTGGACAGACGCTTGGATGAAATTTTTCAAGCTGATAACTTTGATGATGCGAAGCTCGAAGATATTGGATTGTTCGGGTCTGACACAACCGAAACTCTTGCTCACGGTTCTCGAGGTAAGCGTTGTGCCACGAGCGATCCACAGGAAAGGTCGGTTTAACAACCACTCAGTAATTTGATTTAGTGAACAGCTATGAACGGGGGTCGTCTGTCTCAATGGATTGAACTTTACCTCACTCTCCGACAGACTCAACCCCGTCTGTACACACCACACTCTGAAATCCCCGGACTAAGTGGATCGCATGTTTCTTGTCCATCTTGGCTTTAGGCATGACTTCAACATTTTCGGTAGAATTCTCTTCGTTCGGTGCCGTCAATCTGATCGTTTTACTCATCAAATTCGTTTGACTTGTTTGTTCCCCATCCCTTTTAGTTCCTTGCTCCGGTATTGCAAAGACCATGGAAGGTTAGCATGGTAGAGCATCTCGTATTCGACATCATGCTTGTTCGTCTTGATTATTCTCCTAATTCAGTGTGCATGTGCACACTCGATCTGTTGTCCCCCTCGTATACTGTCTCTTTGTTGTGTCCACACTACGTGACCCGCTACGAGTCGGCCCCTCAAGCCATGGGTCATTTGGACCAGTTTTGGTTTTTGTTCAAGTTACTTATATTTTGTGAGTAGTTTGGACTTTTCCAGTTCTCAGATTTCGTCACTTAAGATGAGAGAGAGCAGAGCAAGCCTGTGTTACCAAGTGTGAACATCTCTAGTAGTGTGCATCTCACCAACAGTCGTTGTTAAGAAGTTTGCAAACTCTAACAGCCCACTTATTGATGTTGTCATACGAATTTCATGTCCGGTTCCATTTGTAGCCTTGTTTCCTATTTTTGTTGGGTAGCTGAATTTAGCTGAGCCACACGAGCAAATAAGCAGTTCGTTTCCATCCATCCCACAAGTCACATAATATAAGGATATGTATTCATCAGATGGTGCCTATTCATTGTCCTTTCATCATCAATGACAACATGACATCAGTTTTCAACACCGATGCTTCACTGCAGTACAACCATGATTTATTTGAAAGCCTTATTGTAAACAAAAGAGTAAAGGTGGAAGGGGAAGGGACTTAGTTCTAGCTTACCACAATCACCCCGATGTGCCTACACCTCCAGATATTCATTCAGGAGATCTGGATATAAACTGACAACAAGAACGCCACTGACATCGGTTGGCAGCCATATCTTGTAGTGCCCCCAACCAGTCACAGTAAGGATCGCGCGGTCCCCATCATGGAAGGCCAGTAGCGCCGACAGCACCCAAGCGTTTCGTGATCTCCATCATACTCCTTTGCCAAATCAAGGGTTGGCCACCTCTCTGCTGCCGCCACTCTGAATTGGGTATGGAAAACAGCACTCTCTTCCGCAGACGATGGTTGGGCATACATAACACATGTCCCAACCAACGCAATTTCTGGTGCTGGACACATTCTTCAATGGAAGTACCCGTTGCACAAACAAAAGCGCACTTTCTAACTGCCTCATTACGGACTTGTTGACACCATTCCACATGAGATCTGGTTCTGAGACAACGATTGTCGAACACCTGAAGACGTCTCAGGTCCGCTGCTCGAATAGGCCAAGTCTCACAGCCATATAACAAAACAATCCGTACTGCAGTTTGATACACACGTCCCTTGAGATTCAGGGATAAACCATTCTGACGCCATAGATGTCTCAAGTTAGCAAACGCGGCCCGAACCTTGCAGATTCGTGCATTCACCTCATCTGTCACACTACAATCAGAACTAATACAACTTCCAAGATACGCAAAACGCTCCACAACCTCCAGTGCCTCTCCCTGGATTGTAAGGGGCGTGTTCAGTGACTGCACGTCCACAAGCATGACCTTACTCTTTGTGGGTGCAAAGTGCATACCAAAGACGGGATGACTTTGGTCAGTTCATCCAAGAATACTTGCGCCTTCTCCGCCTCTTCGAAAATGAGAACAATATCGTCTGCATATTCCAGATCGACAAGGTTTTCTTTACAGGCTATTTGAACACCAGGTGGAGAGAGACCCTCCAGCGTTCGTCTCATTATTTCATCGATCAGGAAGTTGAAAGGGAATGTAGAGAGTGGGCATCCTTGACGGTCACCCGCTTTGTGTGCGGAAGCTTTTGGAGAGCTCTCCGTACACTCTCACACGTCTGCCAGTCTGAATCGGTTCTAGTACTGTTGGTGGTTGGATCTGTGAGAGTGCACAGGTCTCCGTGTTTAAGGGTTTCTTTGAGATGCAAGCCAAACTCCAAGCTCGACGAACAGATCAACAGCCACCTGATCAACTCCCAATCCGCTGAAACCCTACATGCACATACTTTCCAAATTAGGAGCTTGTCCTTCCACTACACACACGTATTGAGCCTACTGAACTTGGATGCTTTGTCGTGGACGACTTGGAATCCGTTTGACCCAATCGGTGCATGTCTGACTGATCCTCAAGGTCTTGTTATCAATGTAGCATTTGCTGGGTTGTCCAGCTTGTGTGTAGTCGAAAGTGTAAGCGCATCGAAATGCATGTGTTGTTGTCCTTTCTTCACCACACCTGCTAATCCATTCTCATTTTCATCCGCAGAACTCATCAGTCGTTCTGTCGGTGGTGTGCCTGAGGAACATCGAGATTTCCTCACAGATCTCTTCTCCACTGACGACAATGCACTGCCAAGTCTTGCTTCGGAATCCGGAATTAGTTCGACGAAAACCGAGGCCCAACCTACAGGTATTTGGGACGTGTTTTCTTTCCATCAACCGGTTGTCTTTCCGTTGGTTCGTTTTTTTTTTGTCGCCTCTCCGTTTCTTTTTTATAGATTCACAAACCGTTGGTGCTAGTGAATTTAAAGCGGAATGGAAATCCGTTTTTGCGTTCAACTCGGAACCAGCTCAACCTACTCAGTCCGGGTTTTCAGAGGTATGTAATTTGTAGATGGATTTCTCGCCTTTCGTTGGCACGCTCTCTGACTGATTTGTAAACTCCGTATAGTAGTTTCGTGTTGTCGAAACCCGAAACTAACTCAGGCTTACTGAGTTTTCCCGTCTAATACACGCGGGGAGTTGACACAGTTCGTTTGCTAAGCTTCACCTCTGTGGGTGAATTCAGACGATCGTAGGACTGGTCGCATAAATCTTGCTTGATTTGTATAAAAAATAAAAGAAACATAGTTCAGCTGTAGCACCCTTTCGGTGCCTAGCTGCCAGTTTGCATAATCCTGGACGGGAGCAATCCAAATGCCGAAGTTGCGTTCGAACCACGGACCTTTCGGTCAGTAAGTTCGCACCTTAACCACTGAGCTATGTTGTCCGGAGGTCAGCCGTGCCTAATAACCGACTATCACATCATTCGAACGGTTGTGTCACGTGCAGGCTACGGATCAAACGGAGGCATGACCTGATTGGTCGGAATCCCAGCCAATCTACATCGAGCATCTTTAGCTCGACGCTTCCCGCCCCCCCACACAGATTTCACCACAACCTTGTGGAACATTCTATGATCACCCTATAGATGCAATTTCCTTTGTCTCCATAAAGGGCTGTTCGAAGCTACTGTGCCTTTTGATATACCATACTGTGCGGAGCAGGAAGCCAAGGACCGATACAGAGTTGCGCGACCGTTCGTGAATCACAGCACATCTCGAGCTCAATCGTGGTACACTACTTACTTAATTTTCAAGGAGAAAGACGCGGTATAGGGTTTTCTATTCGATGCAACCCTTGGAGAAAGTACCTGCACCCACTCCAAGCGCCGCGACCATGCTTGAAACACGTTCTGATTCCCGACATACCTCCCAGTAAGAAAAGTCGCACTCGATATTCCATCACATCGGCTTAGTTTGACAAAGGGTTTGTCACACAAAAAGGACCGGAGTTGCTTTTGAAGCACTATTCCGCCACGTTATAGGGCTCTTCTTGACCTGAGTTGGCTTGAAAGCTCAAGATGACTCAGTTGTTAAGGGGTGAACTTACTGAGCGGAAGGTCCTTGGTTTGAACCCAACTCCGCATCCCGACTTCTCCTGTTTAGGTGTTGTTATGATGGACGATGATGCAACTCTGTATCAGTCCCTTGGCTTCCCGCTCCGCCCACTATGGTGTGTCAAAAAGCATGGTAGCTCCACACAGCTCTTTCTGGAGACAAAAGGACAATCATTACATCTATATTTATAGGGTAATCACAGAGTCTTTCACAAGGTCATGCCAGAATCCCCGTGAGGGGGCGGGAAGCGTCGAGTCAAAGGTGCTTGACTCGAATTGGTTGGCATCCTAACCAATCAGGGCATGCCTTCGTTTGGCCCGTTTCCTGCACGTTACACATTCGTCCAAATGACGTGGTGTTCGGTTGTAAAAGACGGCTAGCGTCCGTACACTAGGCTTGAGCAAACTGACTGTAAGATCCGGACGGTTAAGGATCTCACAGGACGATTGCGACTATTAGATTATACGCAGTTCGTAGCCAGTAGTCAATAGGAGCAGACAGACGTGGGGCAGTAGATGATATATTGAAGACTGACAGGAACTGGTTCTACAGAAAAACGAATTAGTAAGCATCATGAATTAAGAAAACGTACAATCAACAATGACGCAATCTGTAGGAGCGGGAAGCAGTCACTGTTACAGCACGGGTTTCTGTAGGGGCAACAAGAAGTAAGTACCAAACGATGTGCAAACATACATATCGGGGCAGTCTGACAGTATGAGTTGGCCGTAACGGCGCAGGAGTCAGTACGTTCGGGATTTGAGGGACTGTCTTTCGGTCGGTGTCGACGCAGCCGCTCGTGTCGCGCGACAGGTCAGATTGCGCGGTTTCGGCCGTTTAAAACAAAGCTCAGCAGGGGCTATCTGGCAGGCGTGATGCATGGATAATACAAAATAAACAGCTGTGTTGGACGTCCGGTTGGTGTAGTCGGTAACGTGTTCGCCTGCTGTCTGCAGACTCTGGGTTCGATACCCGGTGGGCGCGCTTTTCGGTCGGAGTGGACGCTCGTGAATAGGTGCAATCCAGACGAACTTGCAAGCAATGACGGACGGGTAAATTAAGTATTGACATCAGTTACTGAGGCATAAACAGACCCTAAGCCGGGACGAAACAGGGAGAAAACGAGCAAAGAAACGAAACGGCGTCATAATAAACAGATGCGAGTCACGTTACTCATGAGTAGTCAAAAAACAAGGAAAGTTACCGCTGGTCACCGTTGATTCGCAGGCGGAATCAACACTGACAGTACGTCGGCCGTCGTGCTTCCTTCCGGTGGCGTGGGAGCTAGGCACCGAACGGTCGATCGAGTGACATGCTTTTCCCAGTATCTGTAGAATCGCCGAGGGTAGTTTCGTTGCACAAAATTTCACATCCCTCCTGTAATTGTGCGTTGTCTTTTCATTTGAAAATTTCTGTGTTGCCTACCGATTAATCTTGACGTGAACGAAACCCTATTTCGCTATTATTCCTCAATACAAGTGCGCAACGCCAATGGTTGAAAGATGCTAAAAACTTTCGCAGATTGCTACATTTCCATTACATAATTACGGAAGACGTCTGAGATTGTTCCTACTGGTCACAACATCTTCCCGGTCCTAAGGGGAAATGTCACCGTAAAGAAGGAATCCTCACCATCTACCGGTACTTGTGCCGTTTTTTAATCAAGATGTCATCCTTTCAGTGAAGCAATCTATGCTGAGACGCAATGTATCTCGGTCTCGTTATTATTAGAATCGCTGTCAGTGTTCATCGTCTTCGAAACGTGCTTGAACAATTAACCGTTTGGCCACGAGCCGGGGCGAGATGGCTCAGTGGTTCGAACCCGACCTCTGCCTCTCGACTTTCCACCTCTAGGCTTGGGCAACCTGGCAGTATCCCAAACCTCCTTCTTCCTTCGGGCGGCATGGCAGTTAGGCACCGAAAGAGCGCTACAGCTGAACGATTATCGATTATCATCACGAGCGGCTGAAGAGCAGTGTGAGCAGCTCTCTTTGCGTTCTCATCCCAAATAAATAAACCTCGGATCAAATTTGTTTTCGTCTGAATATTTTTCTACAAATGATAACAACTCGAGTTTAATGTCCGCGTCAAGTGTAAGTCGAACTTCTCTGCCAATTTGTGTCATGCCTACTTTTGGTGACATAGCAGTGTCCCTCTTGTCTTTAGGATCCACTGCTTTCACTGATAGGGCGAACCGCCGGTTGGGAACTTCAAAATCTCTCCGCCGTCTTCAAATATCGATGAACCTTTCTCTGATACTTTACCATTCGAGGTCACCACGCTAGCTTAATTGCTTGGTTTAGGGATTATTAGACCCCTGAGTGAATGCACATCTTTCACACTACCGATCAACTACTCGTTTAAGGAGAAAAACCCTTCGTCGCAGGGTTGTGTGTTACAAAGCAGCAACGGAACGGTTACAAACTGGTGGACAAGAAAGTAAACATCTCATGCACACGTTGTTTTTAAAAACTGAACGTCCTCACCCATCTTCTTCAACTTTCGTTAATATTCATTGACTGCTGTAAACGAACCCTAGAATGCATTTCCGCAGGTTCCGTACTAAACCTCATGGGGGCGCGAATTACAAGAAAACACATACTACTCGCATGCCTCATCAGTAGTATCCGTCGTTACACCATAGCAAATTTAAACCCATATCCGGTAGCTTGTTGTCCCCTAGAGAAAACATCCTTACAACTAATTGATTCGGTTTTTCCTGCTGTATATGTTGCGAGTTGTGATGGGAATTTAGCCGGCAGAGTTACTTACCACGACATCTTGTTTTTTAGGATGATCCTTGGAGTGAGTTTCAAAGGAGTGCGTCGTCGGCACTTCCCTCACATCTGTTAGACAGGCGCGAGGATAGTGCAGGTTCAATGTTCAGTTCAACTGCCTCTTCCGGTATGCCGCAGCATGAGGCGGGTTCTTCGGCCACCCCTTCTGAACAACCTGTCATGCAGTCCGAACGTTCAAAACAGGTGAGTCAGTCATTTAGTACAATCCTCCGTACAACTTGACCGAGACGGGTTTACATTCCACGAGGCGGAGACTCTTTTATTGGTTGGGAAATGCATGTGAATAGGTTTTCGACGAATATACCAAGCAAGCTGTGTTTGCGGACGTCAACAACTTTATCCTCTTGATTCGTATCCAAGGGGGCATAAAAATCAATAACTTTATGGATTGGCTCTTCATGCACAATCAAACATGAGGAATTGGTTCATTATAGTGGAAAATATAGGTAGCTCATGTAGCGTAGACGGTCGTTTGTTTGTTCGCTGAGTTGGGCAATTTGATTGCAAACGGAGGGAATCTCTGGAAGCATGGTACTCCACGACGGATTCGATCAACCGGTGCATCGAACTAGATCAAATTTACGCACCTTTACATGCAAAAGATCAACTTTTCAACCAGTACACTCAAGGAGGACCGAATATTGGATTCACAAACAAAGAAACAAGAGGTCAAATCAATAAAGGGCCGAGGACAAAGGTCACTCCAGCACGACCAGATTAAGACGGCAGGGGATGTCAAACTCAAAAGTCACGTGGGCATCGGCCAATGAGGACACAGGATAACAGAGCAACCAATGGAACCGACCGAGCGAACAACTCATCGCGATCAAGGTCATTCCCGGCTAGCAGCACGTGTATTAACACACACGTAATGCTACTCAACGCACAACCACTGACTCATTGTTATGATTCACTACGCTCCCCAATAAAGCACTGATGATGTCACCTCGATTGGTGATGAAACGTTTGCAATCAAATTGCCTAGCTCAGCGAACAAGCGAGCGACCAATCGGTTCATTTTGCACGTCAGAGCGAATAATCCGCATTGAATATGCGGTAGCCCTTCCTTTAGTTTACTCCCAGATGCGATCTCTTGGTCTGATTTGGAAATCGGTGCAATTGATGCATTTTATCAAAGTTGAAGTCTGTGCTGGCTGCTGGGCGATCATCGAGGGGATTTCTAGTCTGACTATCGAATTTGAGCTCAGGGCTACTTTTGGCAGTCGACAACCTCGGACCTTGAACGGCAGTGAAGCATCAATGTTGAACACTGACGTCATGCTGTCGGTGATGGTGAACTTCGAGAGGTCATTAAAAGGATAAAACCAACTGCACATCATGGCTAAGCGTGCTCTACCCACACCAGACAAATCGAAGTTGCCAGCCATATGAATACTTAAATAAGAGACTTCACAAAATAACGGTTAGAGGTCTTCTTTGCTGCACGGCTGGGGTGTACTGTCATCAATATCACAACTACTGTCATCGCTATCTTTTGCCCCCTTCCTTGACAAACATCCGTACTTCACGGCCTTATCCTCAGACGGCGAAATTTTTTTTGCCGCATGTAACTCTCCGTTAGGATTTCTTGGACCGAGTTGCGTTGCGAGGGAGTTCTCTTGTACCGGAACTGTTCGCTAGGTGTAATCTCGCTCTGGGTGAGTTCAATGGACCGACAAATCGAACAACCGCTGTTTGGGACGACCACCAATTTGTTTTACTCATGAGTAGTATGAATCGTTCACGACAGCTAGTCGTAGGCGCCTGCTCGATCGCACGGGTGAACCAGGCGTTCAATGTATCTCTTATACTCCCCTCTTTATTTCAGCAGCCCTCCAGCCTGGACTCATGGATGCGTTTGTTCTCTGACCTCGGGCAACTTGGCAATCCTGATGCAATCAGCAAAAAGGAAGGTCAAATATCGGACGCCTAACCCCCCGACCTCTGTTTTTGGGTCCCCCGACCCCGTGATACAGACTCCCCCGATCGTGATCTACTTGTTACTCTCTTTCATCTTACTTTGTTGTCTCCTCGGTTGTTGGTCTCCTTGTAGTTGCCGTTTTCCCCCCTGTGACTCACAGCAACTTGTCTACCACAGTTGATACACAGTTTTCCAGGTGTGAGCACTGTTTTCTGTTTTGATGCAGTGAAGTACAAGTTTATCATCAGTTGCTTGTAGTTCAAACACGCCACTGGGGCACACGGTGGACAAAAAGAAACTGCACTCGCCGAGGCATGGTTTCGTTAATACACGTCCAAACACATAAAAGTAACACCTAAGACTTGCTGAAAATGGTCATGCGCCAAGAAATACAGTTACTAGCTAATCGCAGAGGTTCGGTTGTCGCTGATTGATATCCAGTGGCGAGATGGCTCAGTGGTTAGAGCGCGAATTTACTGACTGGAAGGTGAGTGGTTCGAACCCGAGCTGTGCCTCTCAGCTTCCTCTGTCTAAGCTTGGGCAAGCTGGCAATATCTAATTCCTCGTGCAACCTTCGGGTGGCATGGCAACTAGGCACCGAAAGGGTGCTACAGCTGAGCGAATGACATATAGATACCGTTTTCAGGTTAGCTTATTTAGATCTCGTCATTTTCTCTCATCTGCCGCAACTGGCCTTGTATTTTAGAGAGCCAAACTTTTCTTAACTTATCCTTGCTCGTTGGTTTGTTCGCTGAACTGGGCAATTCGATTGCAAACGTTTCATCGTTGTTAGGGAGCGGTGTAGAATGTGACGATGTATCATCACTGTGGGCCCAACCAATTCAGCGAACAAACCAACAGTCATCTACGCTACCTAAGCTCCCCACTTACTTTCCATTGTTCCTTCCCTCCAAGTGGATCTGAGATACCTGCGGCTATTTCGCAATGACCCGTATTCAACACTCAAACGGCTTGCCATTCGTACAGAAAGGCTGTCTCTCCAAATGTTATTTGTCGTAGTTGTCGCGCGTACGTTCTGACCGCCCTAGTTGGTAATGGCTTGGAGTCATCATATCAATACGGCCATAGTTCCCTACTCAAAGGAATAGTTAGTACGGACCGTCATTATGACTTAATGCATATCCCAGTAAGCAGTTCTTCAAAACTCTGGTTGATAGGTTGCATCCAATGATAGTCTAGGCGCAATTCTACACTAATCCTGCTCGCACTCAGGTGCTGCTGCGACCGAGAAGCCCATCCCACGCAAGACTGGCCAAAAATTCGGGACGCTTGCCGGTTCGGCATCAAGCCGAGATCTGATTGGTCGAAAGTCCGGACCCAACAGCCAATCGTGAGCCAGTATTGGCCGAATGCCGGTTGCCAATGGCGCATCCAGAGCGCGTCAGAATTTCCAGGTTACTGTCGCTTACGCTATATATGCGAAGCTCTGTACAAGCGTTCCTGACTTCGTTTTGGGCGTTAATATAACTTGTGACCTTTGGTGGTTTTTTCGACATGAACGCTAGCTTGGGAGGCTCAGACCGAGAACTAAGCTGAGAAAATACCGTTACTACAGATAAGCAATACATAACACGTTTTGATGCGTAGCTGCCATGCCTACCAAAGAAGACATGGTGGTTGAGAAACTGCCCGGTTACCCGAGCCTAGACAGAAGCATCCGAGTGTGAGTTCGAACCAAGGCCCTTGCGGTAAGTAAGTCCACACCGCAATCAGTGAGCTCTCTGGAGCTCATAACTAATCACAGGTTAGGCTTTGCCACAACAAAAGACGCTGATACGATTGATCAAAACATCGGTCTGGGTTGGTGTTCCTTCGGTAAACTGCTTCAACAGTTTTTCGGAATGCTACGTGTGAGCAGCATGTATGCGCGCACTTGTTCACGAGTCGAAGCGGCTAATGATGGCAAGTGCTCCGCTAGTGAACGACTCAGTGTTTTGCAGGCAAGAGAACAAACTGAAATCCGTGTGACTTGGGCCTTGGAGGCGATGCATAGCAGGCAAAAACGAACTATAGTGGCTGACGAGACCGGAAAATGACCCGAGGGATGTCATGTCTGTTGGCGCTAGCATACGTTTGATGGCTTCGATGTTCTCCGGGTCTGGGCGGCGGCCATATTCGTCGATGATGAACCCAAGGCACTTTATCGATCGCATGAAAAAGGTGCATTTCTCTCCGCGCACCCTGAAGCCATATTCTTGAATACGAGTAAGCACGTAATCAAGGCGCTGCCAGAATTCGTGGGGGTTGGTACCCATGACATTGAGATCGTCCTTATCACAATGGCATTTTATTGCCAGGCGCAAACACCCCGTGGCATCTTCTCTGTTCTGATGAGGAAATCAATTGACATCGACCTCCGTTAACCACTTTGGATAATGAAGTGAATCTGTCCTTACTTTGCGGTTCTAAAGGTCTCGGAAAAGCATTAAACGTTTCGGTTTCTACTTGGCATTTGCCCGTACAAAAACGCTTTCTGAGTTCACAGATCCTGGCGAATCGCGATCGCCTCAGCTGTGGCCAAACACATATATTGAACGGATCTTGGTAGGTTAGTAGACGCTTGGTACAAAATTCTGAAGGCTTTGTTATAATCAGTCACGTGACTCGAACCAACGCGCCAGTAATAGACCTCTTCGATCCGGTAGTCAGTGGGTGATGCCACCTGACTTTTTGGCATGACTGCCGCGTAGCGAGCCCAAAGTGTTCTGCTGTACAAAAACAAATGAAGGAGTAGACTACCATGCTTTCAGCGCAGACCGGCAGTTTATCCTTGAGGTGTAGGGATTTAATTGAGTATTCGTGAACCCCACTTTGAAGCGACCGGATAATCTTTTCGAAGTGCACGGTGTAAAAGACGTCACATGGTCTTCGGGTGTATCTCCTTCGGTAGGGAAACCGATGGGAATAGATCTCGTCTCGGCTGTGACCGGTACGATGTGACAGCCGTATGTTTTGAGATGAGCCTATCCGAATAACCATTCGAACCAAATATTCCCGCTTCCCCTGGACAGTTTCCATGATACCGCATGAATTAATTATAAGCTACTCATGTTATCTAAGTAGTGACAAATTGTATCGAGTTGAAGGAACATGTACAAATAGGCGTGATGCCTAACTCTTTTCCTTACTTTCAGAGTGGCGGCCGTGTTTTGCAGCAAACCACTCTCCACCGTTCTGTAACTGCGTTCATATTGTCTTTTTCTTCCAGTGCACAAAGTGTAGGACCTTATCTCCACATATCTACTGGCAAACAAGGGTGTATCTTAATTCTCCTTAGTTATTTTTATTGATGACCGTGACGTATTAAGTCGACGCCGTGTAATGCGCTTTTGGTTCCAAGCTCCTAATGATTCACTGATCACGTGGTCACTCGTGTTGTGCCAAGCACCAATTGCTGTGTTTTCTCGATTCAGTGAACCAATCCAACAGATGCGCAAACCTGCGTTTAAGACGAAATGAAAATATTTTCAAGATGAACTTCGGACGAGAGGGTTAGTTGATACGCATTACTGCTTTCTGGCCATGCTTGTGGAGTTTCGCTGCCAGTTTAACCTGGGCCCAGGTACTTGGCCGTAATCTATAACGAACGAACTTTTCAATAACCCAATTCAGTCTCGAAAGTGTTCTCTCTGGCTCGAAATACTAATCGATCGTAAGCTTGTATGCACGATTCACTTTGAACGGTTGCTATTGAAGGTCTATAATAGCCAATGAAATTTTAGCTTTCCTTCAACATGGAATAAACTCATCACTTTGGTTTTGGATTTCCAGATGTTGGAGTGATTTTCAACTAATAATGACAGAGGACTTGAAATATTCAATGACCTTGGAATGTCACCCCCCAAGGAAGCCTGATTAAGGTATAAATTCAGACATGGCAATTTAATCGAGATATTACAGTCTGTAGGAGAGAATTTCGAGCTCGTGAGCGTTCTCTGTCACAATAAAACCTCCGGTCGAACATAGACGCTAACAATTTGAATGAAACGCCAGTAAACCAGTAGCTTCTTAGACAATTATTCACCGAGACCATCTGGTCTATTGATCGAAAAGCGGCCACGTGCAGTGCACAGAAACATCATTCTGGTTTGTAGGTTAGAAGTGTTGAACCGTTTCTCACTGCTCTGGAGTTCCTCATTGCATGAGTGGTTCCACCCATGACCCATGAACCCGGTGTCCTACTGATGTGCCCGGTGAGTCGAAGTAGCGGTGTAAAGAATGTTGGTTGATTTCTTTGAGAGATTACAAATGTCGTCCAATAAATTCCTCTCATCGCTTGCAAGGGACTCACCAACCGCAGCGTATACTACATTCACCAAAGGAACTATTGTAGCCCTAATTTTCATTGATTGCCAGGCGAGATTTCTGCCCGGCATTCTAACTATAACAACGGCAGTTTCGACTTTTCTATATTATGTTTCCGGTAATGGGATTGGGGTTTAAATTTACTGCCGGCGATTTTCCGACAGCCAGTGAGCTGATCAACAATCCATGCGTTCGTTTTGAATCAATAGTCATCACGTGATCCCGTCATATATTCGCCTCGAAACGTCATCGATCCATGGCAAATGATCACATACACTTTGATCATTACTCCTGTTCTAACCCGTTCAATAGCATGGGTTGCTGTTTGTGACGGTCTCTACTTGCTCGACCTCTGACGATGATTGCACTGCCCAGAGTTTGACGCTTAATGTCATCCATCTGCATGCAAGTAACACGTGATCCATGTTGCGGTACCATGCACAGAACATAAGACAGTGCTTGGCTTTTAACGATGACAATTAGTAGGCTAATAATCTCCAACGATCTGTCCAATCGTCTTACATTGCTTAGCGATTGTACTGAATAACTCAAGGGGAAAACTCCCGACTGTCTATTAGAGGCAACGTTTTCAAAGTCATGGAGGTCCCGAGCTGGTCTGGAATTACGATATCCATCATTCCAAAAAAGCAACAAACAGCCTACTTATATTTCTTAAGTAGTGTTTGGAAAATAACTTTTTTTCGGATTTTTACCTCTTGGTCCACTGCAAATAAAATGCACTCCCTTGACCTCGTAACATGAGCATAACAGTGATATTCTTTGCTGGATTAAGTGTGCCATACGATAGTTGGTGGCGTTTATAGCGCTTTCACGTGGACCGGCAATACTTCAGTTGACTTGGCTTTCGGTCGATAGT